GACTTCTGGAACACATCTCACTGCAAACCCTGCTGTTTGGCCTTCATCTGATCCATGTGCAGTCCCCAAAGCAAGCACAACTATTTGGAATGTCCTGACTGGCCAGACTGAAATTTGCAAAGAAGTACAGAGATGAGCTGCAAAAGGTCTGCAACACAATCTTATGGACTGATGAGACCAAGATTAATTTCTAACAAAGTGTGGAGAAAGAAAGGAACTGCTTATGATCCGAAGCATACAAGCTCATCTGTAAAGCATGTTGGAGGTAATGGCTTGGGCGTGCATGGCTGCTTCTGGAACAGGGTCGTTAATATTTATTGATGATGTAACTGATGATGGTAGCAGCAGAATTAATTCAGAAGTGGACAGAAACATTTTGTCTACCAATTTACGGAGAAATGCATTGAAACTAATCGGGAGGAAGTTTATCATGCAGCAGGACAATGAGCCAAAGCACACTGCCAACAAAACAAAGGACTTCATCAGGGGGAAAAAGTGGAAGGTTTTAGACTGGCCAAGTCAATCACCTGAACTTAACCCAATAGAGCATGCATTTCACCTCCTTAAGAGGAGACACACCCCGAAACAAACAAGAACTGAAAGAAGCTGCAGTAAAAGCCTGGAATAGCATCACAAATGAAGAATGCAACAGTTTGGTCATGTCGATGTGTCGCAGGCTTGAGGCAGTTATTGCAAGCAAGGGTTAAGCCACCAAATATTAAATGTTATTTACTTTAAGATTATTTGTTCCATTACTTTTGCTCACCTAAGAATGCTGTGGTCTAATACAAACGGTGGTATGTCCTAAGCTGTTTAACACATCTAGATGTGAATACCAGGAAATAAAAGCTGAAATCCTATAATCTATAATATAAATAATCTTTTGATCTTAAACCCAAATGTCTTCAGTGAACAACAAAAACAAAGGAATTTGCCTTACCGTTCCAATACTTTTGGAGGGGACTATATATACAGACACGTATACACACAACAGTCCACAGTAAATCTTTTGAATTTGCATGGGGTGAATGTAAACAGCAGCAACCAGATGATAATATGAAAGTTTCATCCTCACAATAAACAGTCAGATATTTGGGAAACAGAGTCCATCTTGACTGAATTTGCGCACCAAGCATCATCGATGTAAAACACAGTCCACCTCCTCTCATCTTGCCAGAGTCTTGCGCTGGCAGCTCCATATCATACCTTATCAGATGTTATTTCTATGTGAAGATGTATTTTATCACTGCCTCAAACAAGCAACCATGTGGTATCTTAGTCCATATTTAGATATAACAATAACATGACATTTAGCATCCAGTTCTGTACACAGGAGAACTATTGAACGTGATTGATGTTCTGAGATCACACGAGTGTTTTTTATATAACTCAATTCTATTCTTGCGTTTCTTATCATTTCCATACACAGTCCATTTTGAAGGGACCAAATACCACCTAGTTGCCATTGACACAGATCATGTGGGGTTTGAAAAACAAACTACAACTTTCTGTTTGTGTGTGTTTATGCTTACTTGTTTGAAACATGTAGTACAGTGGTTTGTTGGTGCTTCTGTGTGTGTGCACATGTGCGTCACATAACATGAGTTTACCAACAGGCCAGTGTGAGCCAGGGCAACACTTTGGGCAGGAATACTGAATGTGCAATAATAATAATAATTATAATAATAAGTAAAGTAAAATTGGTAAAGCAATTGTTATTATCTTACTGTGTAGGAAAAACACCACAACAGAAGATCCAGTTTTAGGCATGGAGAAAGTAATGTGTAACTGATTGATTTTGAAAGCGAGCTTGTCAACCTCGCTGGGACCTGAGCAGATTAGAGGCAACACGATGGAGCTTCCAGAGCTGCCGCTGCTGTGCTGTACTACACCCCTGCTGTTAAGTGAAGGGTGAAATGTGATCATGGAGGGCTGCCAGCACACATCAGGACCCAGCAGTTGAAATGGCAAGCACAACGAACTGAGATGTAACACGTCTGTACTGTCACTGTCAGCCTCTGAACGCTAGAGGGCAAGCACTGCATCAACTATGATACCGTCAGTGTGTTGTTAACAGAATGGACACCGTCTATATGTCCTATGAAATGAAAACACTGACATGGTAACATTTTTTGTGAAAACACACACACACACACACACACACACACACACACACACACACAGATATATCACTATACATATCTCTCTCTATCTCTATCCATCCAAGAGGATTTTGCCATATGTATAAATGGATTCTAAAAATGATGGATTCTGGTATTTTTGTGAATGTCCTAGGGAAAATGAAGAGTCAGGCCATGATGTTGGCACATTCAGAATTGTTATTTCCCTCATTGATTGCATAACTCAGTTATCTTGAACTTAAACACTGATGCGCTCAGTATACAATACTCATTGACCAGATGCACTCAGTACTTGGGATGAACTGGTAATACATATATAATGATACATAATACAAAAACAATTGAACATTGCAATGTTCAGGTTTTGAATGGAAAGAAGATGTTAAAGCATAGATTACAGGGACCAAAATACATTCAAATGATTTAGTACATAAAGAGTATCAATTAAATACTTACTGGGTACCTTAAGAGAGACCAAGGGGAAGGGGTAACAATGTTGGTTTAAATGGGCTTTTAAAATAATTTTTGTTATTCAATACCAATTTAGTAATGACAGGGTATAATAATATTGTAGAAAAATAAAACATATTGTGGAATCTTTAAGTGGAGATTATCTAAATCTGAAAGATACATTTGCATGTAGTGGCCACCAGGGGCCACTCTCATTCAATTCAATGAAAATTGATAATTAACTTGGTTGCTACAGACCCACTGTTGATGCAATACTAACATTATTACTAGCTTTTGCTGTTAAAAAGCTGCTCCAGAGCCGTGTCAACTCTGAATGGACAAACACTATATGAGCCAACTTTTGTTGACTTATTTTGTAATCAATGAATATGTAAACCCCCCCCCCACACAAATATGCTGTATATAAAACACAATTAGTGAATTTCATTGCAAGTCATTAGGGCCTACTTGAATAATATTTACATATTTAGTTGCCCTTGTTAGGACCTTGTGAGCCTTTCATACTTTGGCCCTGCAGATGCCGCCTAAAACGAGCACAGTGGACTAACGTGAAATCAATGCAGTGAAGGCCAGGATCCTGACTGCAGCGGCTGTGACAACGTACAGTTCAATTGGAGGAGTTGGGGGTTAGGAAGCGTGCAGGGGGCTTAAGTAAAATCAGTACTTACCAGAATGTTATTCCAGACCCATCTGCTTTGTGGGAGCCAGCTCCGGATGTTAGTAATAATTATATCACAATTAGGTGGGATGTGGGGGAGTTTATCCAAGAAGATTTTGCCAGACTAATCAGTTCATCCTTATACTCAAAGATTTCACTTGTGTCAAACATGAATCATAACATAAATCTAACCTTTGTGTTTCTATCCCACTTGTCTATTTCTATAGTAAAGATCTGGACTGTATGTACATCCAAGAACAATGCTGCTGCTTTTAAATGGATAATTAACTGGTTAGGATGCAGACTTTTGGGACCTCCTACCTTTAGCCTTTAGACCTTTTTGATTAATTAGCATGGTTTCATGTAGCCTATGTATCGATATTAAAGATGCTTTTTGAGGTTTCCATTTTCATGAGCTAAAACATTAAAGTCAGGAGGAGACAGAAGGCTTTTCTAAATCCTAAGATTGCAAAAGACAGACTTTTGTTCTTGGGGAGAAAGTTCATGCTTGTCGTTCTTGTAAGAATGAACTCAATGTCACAAAACATACAGAACACTGTTGACAGTTTGAGATGATATGTTTCCTGGTATTGTGCAACACTCCCAGCACAGAGGCCGCCTGCAGTGCTCCAAAATAACTGGCAGGCTTAATCACCCAAAACCTTTGGTGATGTGCTATAGCCTACCCTAATTTGCAAGTAGAAAGAATGGTCTTTGGGGTAGGCCTGGTTTCCTCTGTTATTGTTGCTGAAGTCATTTGCTGCATTGGCTGAAGTGGTCTGTGTGTGACTGTGGGGCAAGAGTGTGACTGGCTAGCTGGCTGGCTAGCTACCCCCACAGGCGCTTGTGTAGCCTCTCAACTCTGAAAACGTTGGAGCACATTTTCAATTTGCCATCCATTTTTATTAAAACTGCCAATATTTGAAATCTACACAGTTGCCTCAAATCTTCTCAAACGTGAACATATTGGCCTCTTTCTGCTTTCCGCTCCTCACTGGAATTCCAAAATGAATGCTGGGAAATTTGGGTGGTCAAGTTCATAAAAGTTACCAACCGATGCATCCTGGTAAAACTGGCTTGTTAAGAAGACTTTAACCGTTCTTTGTGAAATGTGATCTTGCGTATTGGGACAGTACTTGAGCTGCGTAAGATAACAGATGGGGGAGGGGCGGGGCTGTTTTATATGATTGATTATGTCAATCATACACTCCACATAGGAACATAATGAAGAGGTTGATACACATCACGAACCTAATACCTTGCCCAGTTATTTGTGCTTAAAAAATGATGGATAAAAATATGCAATGAAATGCAAATGTGCTGCTGAAAATAATATTCAAATATATTTAATATTACATTCAATAAGTGTTTCTGTTTTCATAATCATAGGCTTTAATAGACTTTGGAATTAAAAATAATAAGTCAAAACATGCTGTTTTCACAACTTTGAAATCACCCAGGCTAATTGAGACTGCTTGGCCCAACTTACTGAAAATTTACTCAGTTCCAAACTAGTTACTAGACAAAAGAACCAGCACAAATTGCCAGTCACCAGCCCCAGAGGAGTAAAACGCAGCAATCAGATTACTCTGTAGTTATCGGGTCACACTGTCACTGTGTGAAACACAGACTGTATATAAAAATGGACGTGGTATCTGTGACGTCACCCGTTGGTTTTTGAAGAGCAGTTTTGAAGCCTGAATTGGGCGGAGCTGGTCGTTGCCATCTTAGCAGCACGTCACCGCACATCACTCCCGAATAACGAAAAATGGGCAAAGACGCAGGTCGTGGGTGGAGCTGATGCAACGTTTTGCTGAAACCACTCCCGCCTAGCTCGACGTGACCGAGTTAGCTCATGCTAAGGAGCTAATGCTATATGCTACTCTGCGTTAGCAGAGGCAGCTTCTAAATCCCCAGTGCTGTATGGTGGAGGTTGGAACCTGTGACTGTTGTTGCTACCAGTCTATGGTCGTTACCAGCTCACAGTCAAAGTAAGACACCGGAAAATATTAAAATAACTACCATATCTGTTATTGACATTATACTTCAAGGTTTTAAACGCTTTTTAATATATAAATGGGGTAACATTTTTCTGCAACACAAACGTTAGATTTTGTTGAGACCAACGTTAACAGTTAACTATGAATCAGTTATTAATTATCTTAAGTTTACTTAACGTTACAGCTCAAATGAACGATTTGAAGCAAATCAATTAAACTTTTAACAAAGTTAGTTATGAGTCGTTTATTTGGACATCACTTCAGTATGTCACTTGTAATGAACGTAATAAGCTAGCGGTAGAGTCATTAGTTACATGATGGAAACTGTATAACTTGCAAAACGTTACCCATGGCTACTATCACGTTAATTAATTCCCCACACCGCTATTTTTAGTAATGTTTCTGTTGTCAACAGGGCTGTGAGATTATTGTCTGGAATAGGACACTTGAAAGAGAAAGGTACTTCTTTTGTTTGGCACGAGATTTTAGTGAACAGTTCTAGTTGAGGTTCTGTTGCCTCCATGTCTGCTAGTCAAAGCTTAAACTGTAATGTTACTAGGACAACTTGGCTACTGGACATTGACAGCTGATATAAAATTGTCTGTTTTAAGATGACAACACAAACATTTAAAGACTGTCTCCCTTGTTCCATTTTCTCCCACGTATGTGACAATAGTGCTGTCAACATTAAAACAGTCATCTTTTAGAGCATCTAAAAAAAAATTAGAATACTGAGGAAAAGTTCATTGTGAGCACCAGAACCAGACAGAGATTAAAGGCTTCAGAAACCTTTGCAGGTGTTTTAGTTAATTAGCTAATTAGAGAGCTCTTCTCTCCTTCTTTTCTGTATAATTTCCAATACAGAAATGTATTTATTCTAAAAAATTTTATACTTTGAGATTATGGAGTTTATTTCCATGAGCTATAAACCGTAATCAAGATGAAAACAAATGGGGCTTCACTTTGCGTTATGAATCTAGAGTATATATCAAAGATTCACTTTTTGAATTATATTTAAAAAGTAACTTCTCCACAATATTCCATATATATATATATATATATATATATAATTATAATATTTAATAAAAAACATTTCTGCATCGTTTACTTTATATTTTTCACTACCTGGAGCATTTTCCTCCCAGAGTCACATTGTGGATCAGATGTCCCACCTGGAGACCAGAGACCTGGGATGCATCCTCAGTGTGCTGGAAGTCTAGATCTGTTGGGGTGGACTGACATGGAAAGGCCTTCTCTCCTTTGGGTTATAGTTCATTTATATAAAAAAGAAAAGAAAAAAAAGATGATTTATGGTTCACTTTGTAATTCTCTACCTTATACTTTAAAATAAATAAGGAGCCATACACCTAGTAACAGAGCCTGAAGTTTCTGAAGAGTGCCTTGTTTGCTGCTCTGATATAGGTCTAGCTTAAACACAGAATAATTTCAACACCTCCAAACCATCCAGTGGGTAACTGCTGAAACAAAGAATGATCTGCACAGAGTAATCTTCTTAGGGGTCGCAATAAATGACACCTCGTACAGGGCTTTAAAACTATTCAGTGTGCAGATAATTCTGTTTTTGACAACAGGGTAACTTCTCAGTCAATGTCACATTTGTCTCTTAAAGACATGTCAAAATAAAACAGTATATAACATCAACCTTTCATTTTTTACTATGTAAAATGTTAACCTATAAATACCATCTTAATATTTATTTCAATTTCATTTAGCTGTATACTATAATATATTGTTGAGTCACACTATTTACAATTAACATAGGAAACTAATGAATGAATAATGTGATGATAATGTTTATTATATATATTGTCTTGCATTCATGAAATCATCAATATTAAAAGGTTACAAATGTAGTAGTTTTGTATGACTTGAAATAATGTGTTGTAAGAGTTATTATAATGATAGAATCATAATTTCACATCAGTGGTGTTTAGGTGTTGTGAGTAAAAAGAAAAGGCTGCGCAAAGCAGGAGCTGAAGCTGTTGACAGTCCTTCCAGAGTGCCATAAAGCTACTGAACTCTGAGATCGCCTCAGCATGATAACCTCTCTGGCATGTAACAGTAATCAGGGGTGGCAATGTGAAATACAGTTTACTAATGTGCAATACGGTTTGTTGCTGGACACTGTGCAATAATAATTCATGCTGTTAGACACCTGTTGACTACTCAAGTCAGATCTTACTGGAACATTTATTATAAGGATCTTTTTATATTTCTTAGTGAACTGTACTAACCTTTTTGGCATCGTCGACGTCGCAGATCAAACTCGGTTTTCACCTCAGAGTGCCCCCCCTCTGAGAAAGCGAATCAATCCCCACTGATGAACCCCACAAAGAATAGTGTATCATTTTAAACAGTACACTTGGATGTGCACGGCTCTCCTCGGTGAACAGGCAGAACTCTGCAGCCGCTCCCTCTTTGGCTCTCCACCTTTAAACCCTTTGTGTCCCTCCGGTTCAGGTGAGTCAATGACAAAGCTTCTAAAAATGCATTTTTAAAAAATCTCTTCAAAATGGATTTAATTCATATATTTGAAATTAGAACAGTGTATAAACAAGTTTTATTTGTTAAACAACATGTCAGGTGGGCTCTCTCTCAATTTAGCTTTATTGGCATGAATGTATAACAATATTGCCAAAGCATCATACAAACTAAAGGACAATCAACCACATACATTTCATTAAACAAGAAATTAAAGCGTATGTGTGTTAGATAGAAATATTAAAAATTAAAATAAATGAAACAGTAACATGCGTCTCTCTCTCAGAAAGCTTTGGCAAGTATTCCCTAATGTCTATAGGCTTAATTATTTTGTGCTTGTGTATCCATCATCTAACATTATTGCATTCTACAGGCCAGTTATTTAGTATCTTAACATCCAATTTTACATTTATTGATGGAAAAATTATACAAATACAAATTAACGTTTCATTACGGTATCTATGATCTTCGTTTTAAACCATATGTTCGCTTTAACCTATTATTTATCAGTTTAAAATCAATATTTTAGCTGGTCGCACCACCTGACAATTCAGTTAGGCCACCTGATAACATATTAGTAATGACAGCGAATATACTGAAAAATTGCATTTTCTTTCAAATACAAAAAAGGTGTTTTAGTCTTAAATCTCTATTGAAGTAAAAGTAATGAACTGATTAAAAACAGGATACATGATATCACATTCAGTAAAACAAATGGCAAAGGCTACAGTGCAATGGATTCAATGTATTAGATTGTAATTGAACAACAAAGTTTTTTGTTCGATCGACGATGGTATCGTCCATTGCCGATGGCCCCCAGCAAGCAGGTTTTAATGACCACAAACATTCTTATCATTGTTTTTAAGTAGGCTATGCTTTGCACCTGGCCCGGAATTCTCTTCTCCCCACACCTCAGGTAAACACCCCGGCTTGAGCCGTCCCCTCTATTCCGCCCCCCCATCAGCAGTCGCCTACATATCCACCGCGACTGCTTACGTAAGTTAATAGTCTACCAATTTTTTTTCCCGAGTGAAGGCTGTGCGAGAACACATGCACATAAGATGACTGCGTGTCCCCCGCCCGCGCACCCGATGACATCCATCACGATGTTTCATTGTAGACCTCGCCCAAACCTACTATAAATAGGGATGTCCCAATCACTTTTTTTGCCCACGATTCAAGTCATTTAATATTTAGGATCTGCCAATTTCGAGTCCCGATCCTTGTATTTTACTAAATACAGTTGCACAGTGGACACTTCAGGATGGCTCTGTTTAATTAAATTTCTCTATCCTTAAAAAGTATCCTAGTGTGTTGCTTCGGGGCAGCTTTGGATTGAGTTACCCGAGTGAACTCAGTGTATTCTGTTTAGTGTTCATTTTTTAGCTGCCTTATTAAATTGGACACAGCTCTTCTGAAGCTAGTAAACATTTCTCATGAAAAAGCTTAGAGTGTAAAACATTAATTTAAAACAATTAATTTCAATCAATCAAAACATAGTCACTTTAGAATAACTTTCCTTGCAGTTGCGCCACCTGACTTTACAACTTATTTCAAATGAAACAGGCTTATACTATGAAACTTGTATTAACTTTTGCTAGTAAGTTCATACATATGTTTTGATTAAATAAAAGGTTTTATGACTAATTTAAGCATTACATTGGTTGTAACACCTGACATGGAGAGTGAACCAGTCTGACTATAAGTTAAACATAGGTATTTTTATCATTATTTGAAAGGGATTTACAAACCTTTTCACTCAGACATAAAGGTTACTTGGGGTCCTCTGGATGATGCAATAACCCCCCTGACAATTGAAAACAATCAAATTGCTGGACAGAAGTTTTTCAATTATTTAAGCAACTTTAAAACTATTGGTACTTGTAAAATTTGGTTTATTTGAAAGGTTTAAAATACATCATGCCACAGTATTTTATTTTGAATTTAATATGCTTAAGACAATTTAAAATCTTTTCTTAATCTGTTTATTTGCACAGACGGTTACACCACCTGACATTTTGGCAACTTTAGATGCCAAAACAATATATTATTGTGTTGTGAAAATGTATTCACACAAAATTGGTTTTGTAGAATAAAGTGATATGTCGTGAATTGATTAAAATTACTTTAACAGAAAAGAATTCACACAAAAATATGCATGTCATGTCATTGACCCAGGTGCAGCCACTTATGATAGTATCTGACTAGTATATAACTGAACAGTGACTGCGTTATAGGATGAAGCCAAATCTAACATTGCCCGTTTTCCATTAACATAACATCAGCTAACAGAGCTGAGCCTTTACTTTACAACTTCACACATGCCTTTTCTTCAAAGCATTATCACCCTAATGTCTAACCGACTTGCCAACTTGTCTTGTCTCGTATCTGGCTAATTAGTGTAACGAGCTAAGCTAACAAGCTATATGCTGACACCGATACCTGTTAAATATTGTTAACAAATACAAAAACTTTACTCACTAACTGGAAAACGGACTTCCTGGAGGTTCTCTCTCCGCCTTTTGGTAGATTTCTACATGCAGACACCGGATGAATAATGGCAAAGTTTTATGGATACACTAAAACAATTTTTTGAACCAGGCTGTAAACACGTTTTATTCTGCTGTGAAGTTGGGGGGTCAATGGGGATGGACTCCTTTTTGGAGCCAGCCTCAAGTGGCCACTCGATGAATTGCAGTTTCAGATACTTCCGTATCGGCGTCAGCCCGGAGACCAGAAGTTTGCCGCTTGGAAACACTGCAATTAGATTGCTCTCCAGTTATCAGGTCACACTGTGTGAAACACAGTAGTAAAAGGAAACTTGATAACTAGAGAGTAATCTGATTACTGTGTACAATTTTTTCTGTACTGTAATCGCAAAAAAATTATTTTTGTATCCTGATTACGTAACGCCATTACATGTAATCCGTTACTGCCCAACCCTGTTGTTAAGTCAGGTAGACAAGGTAATGGAACAATCAGGGTTTCTGCAGGTTTCACCTGGTCAAATTTAGGACTGGAAATGCAGTCACAAAATTACTTTCATAAATGTATTCAAATTAGGATTGAGTGATGTCTACAAAATTGGCATTGGACGATGTCAATGAAACACCAGGATGGACGATGACATTGATAAGCTACATAATTACCAAGCTGGCGAAATGCGGTGGACCTGCTGACGTGAAAAATGGATCACCGGTGGAAATAAAAAAAATATTAAAAAAATGTTCTGTCTTTTTGGCGACTTTATAAAACTTAACCTACTGTAAACTCAGGGGAGCAGACAGGGAGACAATAATAAACTACACCCCAAAAGCTAAACTTACTAAATATGTCTACTGGGGTTGAATTCCAACCATTAGATCTGTGAAAATTCATTTGGTTAGTTTTGATGCTCTCCACAGTGATTTTACATTCATGGCACATCAAGCAGTTTTGAGCCTCACCACCTTATAATGGCAGGAAAACACTGTTAATGACCTCAGAATCATTACAGATAGGATTATTCATGTTTGCCTTTTGTGTCTTAATTTACTGCTTTATACATTTGTAGAAACTGACAAATAGGCAACATGAGAACCACCTCCCTTCTGTATTACAACTATTTTATTTGTACATCAAAATCCACAAGAATAATCCCTTCATTAGCTTAAAAGGACTAACGTTAGTTTGCATCCCTAATTTGCTTTAACGTTACTAACCTCAGCTCCTCCGTGGTCAACATCGTCATTTTTTTTAATTTAACTATCAAGATGTACAGTAGAGGACAGAGCTGTAACCTGACAACTTAATGTTGATCTTTTCGTCTGCTAACTTTCACCGTCATTTCTGACGCTCTCACATTTGCTCGTCATTTGAAGAACAACGAGAGG